TCCCCGGACAGCTCGGTTTTATTGGTTTTATTGTTTTGGGTGATTCAATAACCGGTTGCGTGTGTGATATCGTCCAACCAATGCGACATATGGCTAGCGGAAGAAACTCAACACGGGCGAAAAGGTGCCCTTTCTGTCACCGACAAAATCTGGAACCGTCTTGATTTTCACCTGGGGTCCAGTCTTTCAGAAAACGTTGCAATAAATGTAAGTGCGACAAACCACAAAACAAAATCAAATTAAATGCAATGCGGCATGACCATCAAACATTTTCGTTCCAGCAGTTTATTTGCACTACGGTTTCATCTACCATCCATCAAACATCATGAAACGTCATCAAACACTGATCATGGTTGAGACTGAACTAATAGAATTATCAGATACAGGCATACTTGCATAACCAGCCTAAACACATGTAGTTTCCTTCTCAGTTTGGGGGGGGGGGGGGCGGGAAGGGAGAAGGGAATGCGCCTCCTAACCAGGGTTGCAGGTTCCTATTTCTAGATATCATTTTTATCCATTCTTTTTCATTTCTCATAATTTTGGGGTTCGGCCCACAATTTAAAAAAAGAAACTATACCCCTACTCCCAAGCGTGAAAGTGTGTGGAAGCTGGGGAGAAAACAAAGCGCATTTCGGAGGTAACCTCAGTCATTTTTGCTTTCCGCATTCCCTACCTAATACAATGATTAGGTAAACGTATACTTAGCGCAACCAGCCTAAAGACGTGTAATTTCCCTTTCAGAGGGGAGGGGGGGGGGGAAGGGAGGCGGGACTCTGCCTCCTAATCAGGGATGCAGTTTCCTATTTTGATTATTATTTTCATCCCTTATTTTTCATTTGACATAGTTTGGGGGTTCAGCCCGCCAAACTAATTGTGAGAAACTACGCTCCTGCTCCCAGCTGCGAAAAGTGCTTCAAATCCAGGGAGAAAACTGTTTCAGGTGCATTTCAGAAGTAGGCTTAGTCATTTTTTCCTGCATCCCCCCTCCCTCCCCTTTCATCCCTAACCCCTGCGTATTTTGCGAAACTACATGCATCCCTGTAGCCCTACATCTACCGGTAGCATGTTTCTACACGCACCTGAAACAATGTGACTTTTGCTTTCGTGACGTCATCGTACAATCAGTTGGAAGCGTTGGCGAGGCATGACGCTTAAAATGTTGCGTAGCAAACTGATCACGTTCGTCGCAAGATGCTGTGGTCAACCACGATTCTTACGACTTCTAATAAGCCTAATTTTTTAGGTCCTTTATACTGTTTAGTATGTGAGGCGAATCTTGGCTGCAATATTTGCGAAAAGCACTGATTTGAGGGACATTGGAAATCCCTGTGTGACCATTGACCTGTGACGTCAGTACTCATATAATATACTTTGTAATACGTTTCTGTCACCTGCCAAAATCTATCCTGATCGAAGTGCTATGTTTGACAGCATCTTATGGGTAAGCTTGCTCATACAGTGAAACGTCAACATTCCGGCATTTGCTCACGCTGCAGGCGTTAGCAAATACAGACCAATACTAAGGTTTGGGTCTCCCCGGGCTAGAATAATCCGTTGTAACATGGTATTGCCGGTTGAAATTTGCTTTCATTTTCGCAATTTTGCTACCAATTGGTTTGCAGAGTGTCATTTTTTTGTCACCGACCATATCTGGTAAATCAGGAGCTTCTTCGCCCCTGAAATTCAGTTCCAGGGATGGCTCGGGCACCGGGACTCTTCGGTCACTGCCTCGCACTGTTAGCTGTGTTTGGCATGACTGCTGGGTGGCGTGCTTCTAACGGGGATTGAGGCGCCCCGCACAACACCAATCCGAAACAGACTTGTCATATGGCCTGAATGCGTATAGTGAGAGCTAGCTTAAGCTGTACGTGGGTTGGCTGCAGAAGGCTTTAGAAGATGTCAGTCCCCAAATGCATATTTTATCAGAAGCTTATTGGATAAATGTCAGACCCGAGTCAGTAGTGCTCGGCGAATGTGGACGCACTTACACCAAACAGGTGCATGCATACGCCACGGGTCTCGTCCACGCGGCGCTCCAGGGC